TGCGTTTCTTAATCTACCTCCTACTCTTAAAATTTCGTTTTCATCTAGAAATGGATTAAGTGAAATGATTTTGCTTTTAGTTTTAATCGGTTGTTCTGTCTTTAAAGCCTTAATTTCTTCTGAAAATTCATTAAGTTGAACATTTCTTATAATAAATTCTGAAGCCTTCCGTAACTCATAGGCGGTAAGCACACCAGATTGCTTTTCACGAGCGGATTTACAGTTGTTCACGAAGCGCAGAACATAAGCCATTATTCCCAGTACTTTGTTTAAATTTCCGTACAGTTCAAGATTTAGTAACGGTTCTGTAGATTTCCACAAGTGTTTTCAAAGTAACACATTTACGTTCTTCACTAACGTTTTGCAAGTCAGCTTCGGTATTCATTTCGTTTATGTGATGTCGAATATCTACTTCTGAAAGCCAGGGTGGCCCAGAAAACCAATCACTATCATTAATTAGAGCTTCAGCATCCATCCCCCTCGTAAGTTTATCAGCAGGGTTTGTCTTCCCACTGCAAAAGTACCAGTTGTTTAAAATTGTTTTCTCCTTGATTTCTACCACACGATTTCTAACAAATTGTTTCCACTCGTTGGCAGATCCCTTGATCCAGTGAATGCAAATTTGGGAATCAGTCCAGTAAAATATATTTCCCTTATCCAACTGCGGAAATATCGATTGCAAATACGAACCTAATCTTGCAGAAATTAATGTTCCCAAAAGTTCAAGCCTAGGGAGTGTTACCCTTTTTAATGGAGCCAAACGGGATTTCGACACTATGAAACTTGTTTTACATTTATTTTTCTTCTTAAATCTAAAATATGCTACGGCACCATAACACTTGGGACTGGCATCAGAAAATATGTGAACTTCTATAAACTTCCAACACATATCACTGAAGTACTGTCTGGGAATTTCGAAAAACTTTATTTTTTCAACTTCTTTTAACCATTCCTGAAATATGAATTCTGTATCAAGGGGAACACTTTCGTCCCATTGAATACCCTTTTCCCACATAGTTTGCATTAAGAGTTTAATTCGAACAGTAAATGGATTCATAATTCCTAAGGGATCAAAGAGCATACCACATGCTGCTAAAATGATGCGTTTAGTTACTTTGAGATTTTGTAACTTCTCAAACTGAGATACATCTATTTTCAAATTATCATTGACATTGTCCCAGATAAGACCTAAAACTTTCAACGGTACCAAAAAGAGTCTTCAGATGTTTCACGAGAGTCAATTCCATTAAGTTTCCATAGTTCATTCAGCTCAGGTGAGTTTGAAACCCATCTACGTAAATTCATACTGGCCTCGCTAAGAATGAAAATCATGTCCTTGCTTAAATGTAAGGCCTTTGCTACATTAACTGTCCCAGAAATTAAATCATCTACGTAAAGCTCTTTTAACATACTGCATGCCTCTTCGTAGGCATCTTCATACTTTTTTAAATGCAGTCTTACTGTAGCTGTTAATAAATAAGGTGAGCACTTGACCCCGAAAGGAACTCGATTGTGTTGAAGAACTTGTAAGTTGGAATTACTGTGATCGAGATTTGACCCTTCTTCATTTATCCACAAAAACTTTAAAAAATCCCTATCTTCTTTAGCTAAGCCTACCTCTAAAAATGCACGCTGAATGTCGGCACAAAACGCAATTGAATGTACCCTGAATTTAATGATAATCTTTAGCAAATCAGGATTTAAATTAGGTCCGCTTTCCAAACAATCATTAAGTGATAAATTTCCCTTACTTTTAGAAGAAGCGTCAAAAACTATTCGAACCTTTGTAGAATCCTTCTGCTCGCGCACTACCGCGTGATGAGGCATGTAATACCCCGTTTTCAAACTACTATTTAAATACGTATCTACCCGTTCCACTATACCATCTCTCAAGTGTTCATTAATTATCTCATTATATTTTAAATATAGCTCGCTATTTTTCTGAAACTTATTATTTAAAAATTGTAAACGCTGTTTCGCGATTTCATAATTGTTATTTAAACCTTCAACACCCTCTTTCCACAATAATCGAGTTTCATACCTTTTATTCTTGTAAGTTGTATTTCGTTCAAATGACTCTAAAATTTCTTTATCTGATAGAGATATTTCTTTATCCGAACTTATCCCAATTGCTTCTAATTCCCATAATTTTTTAACTCTTTCATAATCTAAGTCCTCATTTACAACGGTTATATGATTAACTCTTGCGTCCTTACACTTTGATCCTTCGTCCTTGCCTTGAATCACAAAACCGAAAGTGCTTTCTGTTGCGACTAATTTTTTACAAATCTTCACGTTTCGTTCTCCTAAAATTTCCCAAATATAATCCGAACCTATTAATACTTGAATTTCGTCACTCGTACCAGCATCTGCTAATTCTATTCCCTTCTCAAACGCCATCTTTCGTATCCACCGAGAAGGAACTTTTACTTGCCCTAGTGTTATAGAATCAATGACTATTGCGTTAATTTTTATCTTTTTATTGGGATGGTTTACATTTTGCAATACGATTTCTACGATATCATACAAGCGCTCTTTTGCATCTTTGCATCCAAATGTGAAAATAATAAGCGCTTCTTTATTAATAATTTTCAACCCCAGTGAATCAACCACTTCTCGTAAGATGAATGACTTTGTTGACCCTGAATCTAGCATACAACGTAATACCTTTTCGTTCCCCCCTTTACACCTAACTGTTGCCGAAAACGTCTGTAAAAGAACGGAAGTCGGTGGTTTAATTTTGTTATTATTTTCATTACATAAGAGCGAAAGAGAAGCTTCAGGGATTGGCGTTTGTTTTGTCTGATTGGAAGTATCCGTCTCTAAATCTTTCGATGCGGCGTCACATATTAACGAATTATGTAAACCTTGGACATTGCACAGTCTGCATTTTTCATCTTTATGAGCACAGAAACGCCTTGGATGCCCTTTCGAAAAGCAAATAAAACATAAACCTCGATCCATTAATGCCTTTCGGCGAGCCTTTAAATCAAGTGCGCAATCATGATTCATATGACAAGCAGATAAACAAAATATGCAGACATTTTGATTCTCTTTCTTAGGCGGGGTAGGTAGAGAACTTTCGATTTGGATTAAAATGTGATTTTTGAAAGTATTTAGAGGGAGTTTCGCTTTGACTAGTTAATACCGAAGCACCTTGCTTATTCGTACTGTAATCATTTCTTTTAGAATGCATGTAAGATTTATTTTGATAACCTTGATGGGAACTTTTGTTTCGTATTGATGTTTCATTTACATCAAAATTCTTAGAACGCGCTAACATCATTGATGTTTCCCTACATTCCACTTCCGTTTTCAAGAACGTTAGTAGTTCATTAACATCGAAATTTTGTTTATCACTTCTTTTCCTAGTGAATTCTAGAGTTAAATTCTCGGGTATTAACTTTAACAAAATAGGGGATAATAAATGTCCATAAGAACCACTAGTAACATTTAAAGAATTTAAATTCCTTATTTGTATTTCTATATCGTCATAAAGCTTCCTCAAAGAAGCCGTATTTCCGGAATATTTTACAGGTTCTAAACTCAACAATTTATTCATATGCGCATTAATTAGCAGGTCATCTCTGCCGAAACGGTTTTTTAGTATATCAACAGCCACCGTATAGTTTTCACTAGTAAATGTTAATCCACTAATAGCATTTAAAGCTAAACCTCCCAAAAGCGATTTTAAATAACAAAACTTGTCAACCGAACTGAGACTTTCGTTTTGGTGAATGGAATTACTAAACTGATTCCAGAATTCAAGCCAAGAACAAGGATCACCGTAATATTTTGTAATCGTTAATTTTGGCAATTTTAAAGTATTAACTTCACAAGTTTTCAACTTCGGAGATATAGTTTCCTCACTAGAATTTCTAGATTCAACTTTACACGCGTTTTTTCTTAATTTTTCCTGAATTTTACATTTAAAACTTATAATTCTTTCCTGATATTCCTGCGCGGAAAGGAAATTACTTCTGTTTCCAACTCCTGTTCCGTAATTATAAGTTTTTCAATCTCAGAATCGTATTGTTTCAACAACTGCGATTTTTCAAGTAACATTTCGAGTAATTCTTTTAATTTCTCATCCGCGGTTTCACCCTCTTCTAACAATGCAGAATCTATTTTACTCATCAACTTAGTAGTTAAGTTACGCGTCACCGTACGCAACTTCTTTGCCTTATTCATAGCCTCCATTTTACCATTAGATTCTATCAACTATAATAATCACCAAGATTTTTATTCAACAATTCTATTCAAAACTGGAAAAATGAAAAAGGGCCTACCTCGAATTTCTTCGCGTTAAATCCTGGCTTTTCAGTCATGAACTCACTAATTTTTTCTTCATCTCCACAAATCAAGTCCGGTGTCACCAAAAAAAATTTACGTATCCAAATGATCAGAAGGTTGTTGATGCTTGTTCCTTGATCTATTGCACCAAGATATTTTACTGTACATTTATTTACAATTTATTTACAAGTCGTATGCCACCTGGCATGTTTACAAGCGTTATGCCTCCTGGCATGTACATGATAGACATATTCTGCCACCTGGCATGTGAATTGATACATCATACTAGTTTTCTGCCACCTGACAGATACGATGCAATTACCTCAATTAGCGGTAATACGCCCGACATTTTGGCGTGTCCGCTTCCCTTACGTTCTGTAACGCAACTAACTTTTTGTGCGGTGCGCCCTCTGGGCACAAATCACCGCAATCACCGAGAGGCCAAACACCCCATTTTAAATGATAAGGTAAAAATTGATTTGATTATATCTATTTTAAGTTCTTACACGTTGTAAGTTAGCGTGCCTTCTGTTCTGGAGACAAAGGCGGATTGTTCGAATAGGAATGCGTAGCTTGTATAAATTGCATGCTTCAATCATAAAAAAATAACAGCTATAAAAAAGTTGAATGTTAATCACCAAGCCCTTTTTCAGAATGCTGTCCTAGTCATGAATTTATGAGAAAGAACATTCAATCTCGAATTGATTATGGCTAAATTGGCTAGACGCGTTCTAAAGTGTGTGCAGTTAAATCTTCATAAATCCAAATCTGCGACACAACAGCTAATTTTAAATATGGAAGCTGATGATATTGACTGTGCTTTGGTTCAGGAACCTCATTATTACAAGAATTTTCTTCCAGGATATCCTGGCACTTATAGATTTTATTGTGATCCTAATTCTGATAATGTAAAGGCGGCAATCATTATTCGATCACGTGATCTATCAACATTTCTTGATTATAAAAATACGGATTATAATATGGTTACCTTGGATATTACTGTTGGCTCAACTGTGCTCACTCTTTTTTCATACTATTTTGAACCCTCAAGAAACATTGACTTAGATCTTCATAAAATTAGTCAAGTCTTTATGTCCAAAAATCTTAATCGAGTGGTTTGGTGTATGGACTCTAATGGCAAATCTGAATTATGGTTTAGTTCCTATTCTGACTCTCGTGGAGATAAACTGAGTGAATTTATTTCTGCCAACAACCTATTTGTTATTAATGAAGATTATGGACCTACGTTTCAGGCAACTCAGGGTTCTAGTTATATTGATGTTACTGTTATTGGTTTAGATCTTCTCCAGGATATTTCGAGTTGGCGACTGTCTGAAAAAGAATCCCTTTCTGATCATATGATGATTGAATTTGAATTTTGTCTTTCTACGTTCTTACGAGACACCTCAAATGTTCCTTTTAAAATCTTCAATACAGGGAAAGCAAATTGGGATCGTTTTCGAAAATTTTGTTCTTCTCGCATCACCCGTTTCATTGATATTCTTAACGACTGTACTGACGGTTCTCGACTAAATACTCTTGTTGAGAATTTTTAGTTCTGTTCTTCTCCAGGCATCTCAAATTTCCATACCTGTTAGGAATCATGGTAAGCACAATGTTCCTTGGTGGTCTGCCGAAATTTTTTGTATGAGAAAAAGGCTTAATGCCTCTAGGCGTAGATTTCAGCGTTGTAAAAATCCGCCTCTTAGAGAACTTTATAAAAGTAAATATCTTGAATATAGAAAAGTTTACAATCTAAAGCTTGCCGATGCTAAATCTCAGTCTTGGAAAACATTTCTTTCGACCATTGATGTTCGCAGTGTATGGAAAAAGATTTACACGCATGGAGTTAAAAGAGATTTCATGAAAAAAATTGAAATAACTGGTATTTGTCTTTCCACTGGAGAGACAACCAACTCTTTAGAAGAGACAATTACTGCTGTGCTTCAGAAATCTTTCCCCTCGGATCTAGAGGAAAATGATGATGATTTGCATAAGGAATACCGTCAAGCTGCGCGTACTGCTTATTCTTTTTTTTGTAGATCCTATGTTTTCTTGTGATGAAGTTAATACAGTTATTTCTATGCTGGAACCAAATAAATCACCTGGTCCTGACTCTATTTCGAACGAGATTATTAAACAGTTTCATTTAATGTTCCTCAATTTCTCCATAAACTTTTTAACGTTTGCTTAAATGTTGGCATTTTCCCACGTGTTTGGAAACATGCTCAAGTAATTCTTATTCCTAAAGGAAATGAGTCTAGGATTCCTTGCCTAGATAACCTTAGGTGTATAAGCTTACTTCCTGTTTTGGGTAAGTGCTTGGAAAAACTTTTTATTAACAGAATTTGCTGGTATCTCCGCCATAGAGACCTTCTTTCTGGTAATCAGTATGGTTTTACACCTCAAAAAAGTTCTGAAGACGCTCTTTTACGCTTGAATGAAATTGTTCAGAGAGGAAAAAGAAAAACTTGCACACTATTTTGGTCTTTTTGGATATTAAGGGCGCCTTCGACTATGTGTGGTGGCCTTGTATTCTCAATCTTCTCAAAAAGTGGAACTTCCAATGAATATTTTTTCACTTGCTGCTGATTTTTTAAATGATCGGGCGGCCAAATTGCAATTGGGCTCGGCTTCTTCTGCAATTCGTCACCTTGAAAGGGGTTGCCCTCAAGGTTCTGTTTCAGGACCTACGTTTTGGAATATTATTATTAATGATCTCCTATTAAAACTGGAAAATCTTGCTTGTTGTGATACTATAGCCTTTTCGGATGATGTTTTGTTTTGCTTCCAGAGTAGGGACCTTTCTGCTACTTTTTTACAGGCACAAGAGACTTTAAATTTCGCCTCCAACTGGTCAAAAGGTTTTAAATTAGATTTTAATCCTGATAAAACCAGGGTTATGATTATTGAAAAGCGAAACATCTGTTATGATGCATTTCAGTTATCTCTCGATGGCACCCCTTTGACTGTGGTAAAGCAAATGAAATATCTTGGGGTTTTTCTCTTGACTGTAAATTTTCTTGGAAACAACACTTAACTTATGTATCAGAGAAATGTGATAAATTACAGCGTGGATTAAGTCGTATTGCACGCAACACATACGGTATTAATTACAACGTTCATTCGCTCATCTATAAACAAGGAATTGCCCCCTTCATTATGTATGGCTCTAAGAGTCTGGGGTATATCGCTCAAGAAGAAGATAAATTATAGATATTTACGACGTGTTCAAAGGCGGATACTTCTGCGGGTCATATGTGGATATCGTACCGTAAGCTATGAGTCTGTTTATGCAATTTCTGGCTTTCCTCCAATTGACATTGCCATTCTTCATTCTATTCCTTATAAGGAAAATATTTCTGCTTCTACTGTCTCTCAGTATGATTGTATATTACCTCTATCTGATCTCCCTCATCCTTCAGAAAGAAATGCTGTTAATTTTATTCGGTTTAGCAATAAAGTCGTAGATGATTCGCCTGTAACTTGCTATACTGATGGCAGCAAAATTGATGGCAAGGTTGGTCTCGCATTTGTTGTCTTCAAAAATGGTCTTGAATTTGAGCACTTTCAATTTAGAATCAGAGATGAATGTACCGTTTTCATAGCTGAACTTTTGTGCTTAAACTTCGCCGTCAAATGGGTCTCTAAACTAAACAAAACAGTGCTGTTTCAGACTATCTCATTTGTACTGATTCCCTTTCATCCTTGGAGATCTTAAAATGTATTTCTTCTTCTAATAATATCATTATTGAGATTCAAAAAGAACTGAAAAATCTAAAGGATAAAAATATTTCGGTTTCATTTTCATTTGTTCGTGGTCATACAGGTGTTGTTGGGAACGAACGAGCCGATTTCCTTGCTAAGACTGCGACTAAGCAGGAAAATTGACACTTTTGTCAATATCCCTAATTCCTTCTATAAGAAGGTCATGTATAAAAGCATTGTGGAGTCGTGGAATCACGAATTCATTAATTCAAATAAAGGGAGTTTAACTAGAAGATTTTCCCCTTCTATTAAAATGAGATTGTCGTGTCATCATTTCTTCACAAATTATAAATTAACCCAGTTTCTTACTGGACATGGGAATTTTAAAAGTTATTTGAACAGATTTAAATTGAGAGTCCTGAGTCTGTCTGTGACTGTGTCCTCGGCGGCGAGGAGAATGTAGAACATGTGCTTCTTCTATGTCCTAAATATGAGAAGCGAAAGGAAAGTCTTGAAACTGGGACTGAAAACTTTTAATATTAACTGGCCTCCAGAGTTTTACCAATTTATTTCCGAGAGAAGTGCTTTTAACACTTTTTGTCAATTCATTGTAAAACTTGTGTAATCATCCTTAATTTTATTTCAATTTTTCTCTTCTGTTTAGTTTGTATTGTGTTTCATACTTACTTCTGTAAGCCCCATGTGATACTATGTGGTACATGGGGAACTTGTTGTGTTTTTTCTTTAATAAAAAAAAAAAAAAAAAAAAAATTCAAAAGGTAACCATATATGTCAGGGAATCGCCAAAACTATTCCTTCAAAATGCTAACTCACACTCAAAATGGCAGTCATAAAAACAGACAGAAATTTCAGATGATTAAAATTAAGGACCTTCTGCCGATTTTGGCCAAAATTCAGGACTTTTAAGGACCACAAATCAATTCCAAAAAACCTAAGGACTTTTAAGGACCGTACGAACCCTGTAATGATATGGATGATATAAATGACAGGCGACAGATACTCCTATCTAAAGTGCAAATTTAGCCAAAACTAGGAATTTCAGTTTGAAATCAACATCATTTCCAATCAACTACGTAATTTAAGTACCAATTCCAAAAAGTACAAAAAATAAAAATAAAGAAATTGAAAAGAATTTTAAAAAAGAAAATTGTAAAAGAAAAATACACATGAAGTGAAGAATGGAAACAAAAGGAAAACTGCCTGTCAAGCATTAGCTAATAGTAGTGGTAAAGCAACTTTAATTGAAATGCAAATGAAAATTTCAGAAATTTTACAGAAAAATGAATAATTGAAAAGTAGTGAAACAATGACAACTCATAAGTGGGTAAGAATGCTCTTGCGAGTTTGCAAAAAGTAGCTATAAAAAGTTAAATAATAAGTTATTTGGAGATTGACTGGAAATTGACTTCCGACTGAAATTCCTAGTTTTGGCTAAATTTGCACTTTTGATGGGAGCATTTACATTTCATTAATTTGATTACATACTACATACAGTGGATGGACAAAAATATGGAAACACCTTGTGAAATGCATGTTTGAAAAGAAAGATTGATTTTAATGAAAAATGTAGGTGGCGCTGGCGTTTTTGACTACTGGCGCCACCTATACAACTTCGTAAATATGCTAAACAGTTCAGTTGTTGTCGGAGCACTGTTATGTGAGGTTGTCATTGCATTATGTCAGAGTTAACAGACTTCGAACGTGGGCAAATTGTTGGAGCACGTATGGTAGGTGCTTCCGTAAGCAAGGGAGCCGAGGTGTTTAGTGTTTCAAGAAGTACTGTATTCGAAGATTTATTCCAAATATTTGAAAAGCGGAAAAACATCATCTGCTAAATCACAGCGCGGACGAAAGTGTGTCCTGAGTGATCGTGACAGACGATCATTAAGGGCAATTGTGACGAAAAATAAGAAGACCACAGCTACAAAAGTTACTGCTGAAATGAATGTTGTGTTACCGAACCCTGTGAGTACCAAAACAATTAGAAGGGAGCTTCATAAACAGGGAATTGCTGGCCGTGCTGCAATTGAGAAGCCACTCATCAGTGATGCTAATGCCCGTAACAGGAAAAGGTGGTGTTTAAGTCATAAAGCCTGGACTATGGAGCAATGGAAGCGAGTAATATGGTCTGACGAGTCTTCTTTCACATTGTTTCCCACTTCTGGCCGAGTTTACGTCTGGAGAACGCCATCTCAAGCCTATAATACAGACTGCTTGTTGCCAAGAGTGAAACATGGCGAGGGTTCTGTTATGGTTTGGGCAGCCATATCGTGGTTCTCTGCTAGCCCCATGATAACTGTGTCAGGGCACATGACTGCCAAGACTTATGTGAATATTTTGGCCGATCAAGTTCCAACTTTGTTCCCCGATGGTGATGGTGTCTTCCAAGACGACAAAGCCCCTGTTCACACAGCTCACATTGTCCAGGACTGGTTTTCTGAGCACGAGGATGAGTTGTCCCATCTCCCCTGGCCACCACAGTCACCAGACCTGAATACTATCGAACCTTTGTGGTCTACATTGGAACGGAAAGTGGGTTCTCGTTATCCACCGCCAACATCATTATCTGAACTTGCCACCGTTTTGCAAGAAGAATGGTATAATATTCCCTTGACAAACATACAGGAACTGTATTTATCCATTCCGAGAAGACTGCAAGCTGTTTTGGATGCCAACGGGTTTCCTACACTATATTAAGCAAAGAAACATGTTTTTTTAAAGGTGTTTCCATATTTTTGTCCAACCCCTGTAGATATACAATGAATATTCGCATTTAATGTAAAAAAAACGCTGGATTCAGAATGCAATTCATAAATTAATTTCAATATTAAATAAAAGAACAGTTTTGAGGTGCAAACTTTCTGGTCATAAAAATGCAGACAAAAGTTGTATGGTCAAAAGATTTTAAATACTGAAACAATTATAGTATCAGTCACTAATATATCCTAACAGAAGAAAACTTAGGAAAATGTTTTTTTTTTTTTTTTTTTTTTTTTTTTTTTTTTTTAATACACTGCAAGTATTATAAAATGGACTTTTTAAAATTTTAAGCACTTCAGGTCACATTCTTTATAACATTAAATGCAGTCTTAAAATCTGCGTTACATTTCTTAACAGTGATAGCGCAATTAATAATAAAATGGAAATTAATGAAGCAAGCTAATAAATGCAAAATTATTTGAAAAACATACCCGTAACTCCACAGAATAGCTCCTGGTAGATCACTGCAGGCACAGTTTTATTTATTCACCGCAATCCACGAATGACGATGGGCACAGCCTGTACTTTGATACGGTCATCCGGTAGATCTAAAAGATTTCCCCTGAATCTTAAATATATTGGCACACTTGAATGCTGTCTGCTCTAGGAACGTAAAAACAACACAGCTGCCATATTGATTCGATCGATTTTCCTGCGAAATGATGGGTTCAGAGTGATCGTTGTGTTTTAATTAAATACTGAAACCGATAGCAACTGATGGTGTATCATTACCAAAGATCGCTAAATGTTTCAATTGAATAAGGCTTTTAATAAAAGATATGCAACAAATATAAAAAATAAAAGATATATTATAACACATATAATATTATAACAAATAAAAGATATGCTCAATTTTCTTAGCGCTTTCAGAGATAAACTCTTTTGGACGAAGAGTCATATTAGAACTATTGGTAACAAGTTAGCAGATAGATTGGCAAAGTCTGCCACTGCAAATCAAATCATTGATTTTGAACTAAAGACTTCCTTTGATAGTTTGAAATCCTTGTTGGAAAGAAGTTTGACTCTTTCGCAAGCAAAGTAGAACGATCCAGATTTTAAAGGGATGCACATATAATTTAATCTCAACTTAAGTGAGAAAAGATGCTTAAGTATCTTGACTAATCATGAACACTTTCCACTTAATTATACAGTACAAAATCTCTAATCCGGACGTCCATTATCCGGAATGATCTATAATCTGGACCTCAGAGCCACAAAATTACGCATGGGCGTAAAGCGTCCGCTACGCATGCGCGTAAAGTCAGTAGAGCGTTTACTCATGCGCGCTTCCGATAGTGAAGAAAGTAACAGTGCAGGAATACTGTTTGCTCTTACAGAACAAAACCAACTGCATACTACTACAGTCAAAAGTCGTTAATCCGGACACGCATAATCCGAACCTCAAAGCTACAAACTTTCTGCGCATAGGCGTTGACGCATGCGCGTTTAATGTATAACGGACGGTATAAGCTAAGCTAAAATTATTTAATCATCTATTTCAGTTAATGTTGCAGATTGCGTTGTTCCTTAATCTTCGTGTTACAACTCGAACGCGAAATGAGCGAAAGTTTCTCTTCTGCCAGTGGCAACGAGGAGTCAAAAAACAAACTTGGAAGAGAAGTCGCTCACTCGTTCATTTTTAGATGATTTAGTTTCGCTTTTTATATTCAATTGTTTTATTTATAAAATGAAACTTTTCTTTCATCTATAGTAATATATATTTGTTTTGAAAGTGAACTGAGAATCAGGGTTTGGCTGGAAACTGAATGCAAGATGAAAGCTATTCGGAACTTATCCGGAAACTGATGCTTGAAGCTTTAGTTCTGAGTATTGAGCTGAAAAACAAACTAAGTGGCTGAACTCAGGGGAGGGACGGATTACAGCTAATTATACTATTGAGGAGAGTCAACCCTGGGAGCTCTCGTGTTTCGATCTAGCTTAACTCCATTGAGGTAAGAAAGGAAGGAGTGGCCAACCGGCACTAGAAGTGAAGCACTGCTTCGAAGCTTCGGTCACCAGATGAAGTGTTCTTTGTTTACATTCAGAAGCTCGCTTGAGAGTGTTCTGATTCCTCAATGTTTCGACATACGACATTTAGTCTATTTCGACATACGACAGTTCCATACAAATCGAAAAAGCGTTACAACTCGAACGCGAAATGAGCGAAAGTTTCTCTTCTGCCAGTGGCAACGAGGAGTCAAAAAACAAACTTGGAAGAGAGCAGTCGCTCACTCGATTTTTCTCGATATAATTTGATACGAAGGTGGGATAATCCCCATCTTTTGATTTGAAATTAATCTCGAATTATGTATATATTGTAATATAAAAGATGTGTGTAAATAAAAGTCATTAAGACTTAATTGAAGTAGTGATTTGAATCGAATATACAAATCGAAAGCTCTCCCAAATAGAACTATGGATTATAGATATAACATATTTTACTGGTGCCTTCACCAAGGGACTTAAGGATTAGAATTTCGAAGATTAGCAGATGGATTACCTGTAAACAGGTAAGCAATTCCTTTTTCTTTTAAAATTTGAAAAAAACTGAATTTCAATATTGTGATTAGTCAATTTTAAACATGGAAGCTTTAGACAAAACTGAAGCAGAAACGTACGAATGAACGCAGTAGCGTTACGAAATTAATTACAAAAATAGAATCTTTGTTATCAGAAAATATCGAAAGCACAAACATTGAGGAATTGCAGGAGATGAATGAAACAATCCCCGAAAGAGAAAACACGTTGAAAATGTTGAATTCACAAATCGAAACTCAGTTAAAAGATGCTAAAGAATTTAAAAAAGGTATTTCTGCAAGTGATAAATACAATAAAAAAATTATGTCTGCAAAGTTTAGAATTAAAATAAGATTAAATAAATGTAATGAAAATTTGTCTGTGAAAAATGCATCAGATGCAAATTCTTTGAACACTTCTGTTTCTGAAATAAATGTATCGTCATCGGCTATGAAATTGCCAAAGTTAAATATTCCAAAATTCTCAGGAGATGCAGGAAAATCGTTAGAATTTTTTAACAGTTTTCAAGCTGCGATTGATCAGAACAAAGCGTTGAGCAAAATTGAAAAATTCGTATACTTGAAATCGTTATTGATAGGGCAAGCATATAATGTGGTTGAAGGATTTCAGTTAACCGAACATAATTACGATTCGTGCTTAGAACTTTTAAAAGGACGCTTTGGAAAACCAGAGAAAATCATAAAATCACATATGAATAATCTTTTGGACATAGAACCGGTAAAAAATTCTTCTAACTTAAATGCACTAAGAATATTACACGACGCTGGTGAAATAAACATTCGAAGCTTAAGTAATTTAGAAGTAACTTCAGGTTCGTACGGACACTTGTTAAATCCGATATTATTGAAATTATTGCCTCATGATTTGATTCTCGAATATCACCGAAAGCGTGATCCAAAAGAGGAATCTGATGTTACAGGTTTAATTGCTTTTCTGAAAAACGAAATTAAATTCCGCGAACAAACGTACGCAGTTAACAAACCGGAACCGAAACTTGTTCCATTGAACGGAAAGAATAAACACTTCGACAAACACAAAAGTAATTATAAATACACAAACAATAAGTTTAACTCTAAAGTTAACCCCTCGACGGCGGCAGAATTATTAGCTCCTGTAAAAGAAGAAAACTGTATTTTTTGCAAAAATAACACACATAATAGTGAAAAGTGTAATATGAGTGTAAATGAAAAAAGAAATGTACTGAGATTACAAGGTCGGTGTTATGTTTGTCTGGCTCAAGGTCATCGATTTTTCGATTGTTCTGAGAAAAAACTCTTGTGTATACTGCCAAAAAAACATAATGCAACCCTTTGTTACAAAAATGAGGAAAAACCCGAAACATCGTAATCAAAAGGTGTAGAAAATTCAGCGTGCAATCACATTAGCATCGGTAGGAATAAAATATTTTTACAGACGGCGACAGTAGAACTTAAAAGTAGGTCACGCATTAAATTAGTTCGTTGTTTATTTGACAGTGCTAGTCAACACTCGTATATTCAGAAACGTCTGTCTAAACAACTGGGCTTAAAAGTCGTGGGAAGGGAAGAAATAATGATTCATACTTTCGGATCTCAAGTGCCTACCAAACAGAACTGTGCGCTAGTAGAAGTAAAAAGAAAAATATTTTCGATAACCAGGAATTAATTATTCAGGTTTTAGAGACTGATGAAATAGCGAGCGCTGAGCTAGACTATCTTCCGCAAAATATTAAAGAGTTGTTAAAAGATAGGGGAATAATTTAGCGGATGTTCATCACGAATCCTTAGATAACAACATATCTTTACTCGTTGGAGCTGATAATTATTGGAAATTAGTAAGAGACAAAATTTAACTTTTGAACTCAACATTAGTTACAATGGAAACCAAAATGGGTTGGATTTTAATGATAAAATTGTCTGACCATATCAACGATAAGGAAAATGTAACTAATGCCTTCGCAGTGACTTCTATATTAATTCACACATCGAAGATTGAAAATTCGTGGAAATTAGATTTATTGGGGATTCAAGACCCTGTTGAAACAAAATGCAGAAAGGAAATGGAAATTGCCGCATTGAATCATTTCAACGAAACTGTTAACTTTAAAGAGAGAAGATATGAGGTTCAAATGCCTTGCGTAGCAGAAAAGGACTGTTCAAGTCAAAATTTCGATATTGCTAGACAGCGATTAAACAGTACGACAAAGCGGTTGATACAAAAGGGCAAATTCGAGGATAACAAAAATGTTCTCACAGATTGATTAAATGAAGGAGTTATAGAGGAAGTCCCTGAACACGAAATGAATAATCAGTGTCACTGTTTCCCAGATAAAGGAGTATTCAAACATACATCGACCACGAAATTGCGACCGGTTTTTGATGCTTCCTGTAAAGACAAAAATTCTCGCTCACTTAATGATTGCCTAGAAAAGGGTCCAAATTTGCTGGAACAAATTATTCCTATAACTTTAAGATTTCGCAAGAATAGAATAGGAGTTATTTCAGACATAAGAAAGGCTTTTTTGCAAGTGTCAGTGAATAAGAGTGATCGAGATTTCTTTAGATTTTTATGGTGGAAAGACTTTAACAAGGAGGAACTTAAGATTTTTTAGACATAAACGCGTTGTTTTTTGATTGAATTGCAGTCCCATTTTATTGGCTGCTGTATTAAGCCACCACATTGATCTAAATTAGTCTAAATATCCTGAAACAGCGGAAAATTTAAAAGAATCATTCTACGTAGATAATTCCATTACATCTGTTCCTGATGAAGAGACACTTACGCGATTCATCGAGGAATCGAAACAGATATTAGATTCTGCGTCATTCGATTTGAGAGGGTAGGAGCACACTTCTCTTTTGAAATCTGAAGACAGTATAGAACCTACTCCTGTGTTGGGAATTTTTTGGGATAAGGAAGATGATAGCCTTTTCTGTGAGGTGAAGACTGCTACTTACAAACCAGTGAATCTTACTAGAAGAAATATATTGTCTGTGGTACATCGCATTTTGGACCCCATGGGTTTTCTCTGCCCTATAACGCTAACACCTAAACTACTCATACAAAAGACACGCTTGTTAAAAATCGGTTGGGTACAAATATATCCGAAGACTTAGGAAAAGAGTTCTATTCGTAGATTGATGTCACTTTTATCCAGTATTAGAATTCCAAGGGCTTGAGATATAAATGGAAATGAAAGTCTTAGTCTACATACGTTCTGTGACGCAAGTAAACAAGCTTATGGATGTGTGATTTATTTAAGAAAAGAAACAAGTGAAAATGTATCAGTGTATTTTCTTCTAGCTAAAAGTAGAGTGAGTCCATTAAGAAAAATGACCATAAGTCGTCTATAATTATTATCCTGCTGTGTAGGAGTCAGACTCGCAGCTCTTGCTTTAGAGACACTCAAATTAGACAACGTTCCAAGGAACTATTGGACAGATTCGAGTACTGCACTTGGATCCAAATAGTTGACCATTGGGCGCCATTTGTCGCAAATAGAGTAAAAGAGATACGAAAATTGTCATCGGAATCTGAATAGCGTCACATTTCAGGAAATTCGAATGAAGCAGATATACCATCACGAGGGTGTTCGATGAAGAGTTTTGTGAAATCTCGCTGGTGGCAAGGGCCAGAAAGGCTTATGAAAAAGGATGAAGAGGGTCGCCAACTAGTGAAGTGATTACTAACGAAGAAGAAATTATGAAAGAAAAGCGAAAGAACATTATTTCTACTTTGGCTACTATCACAGTTGAAAAATGGTATCCGATTTACTTTTCAAGTTACTTTAAAATTGTGAGAATGATTTCTTGGATTCTAAGATTCATAAATAATTGTAGACATGGAGGAAGAAATTATGGCAAAACCCTGAGTGTTGAAGAATTGGTGTGAGTGTTCAAACCCTGAGTGTTGAAGAAATTAGTGAAGCTCGATCAACAAGAAGCATTCTCTAGTGAAGAACAGTTGAAGGGACATTTTACTTTCAGAGATGAAGAAGGGATTATAAGATTGAAAACGAAGATTTTGAGAAGACATGACGATGAAAACTTCCGGTGCCCCATTGTACTTCCAGCCAAACATGAATTAGTAGAAAGAATGGTACAAGACTACCATTTAGAACTTTAAAATGCTGGTACTCAAGTTCTTTCGACCAATATTCGTCAAAAATTTTGGATAATAAAAGGAAGAAAAACAGTACAAGGAGTCATATCGAAGTGCGTTCGGTGCAAGAGACACTCGGCGAAAGCTCTTGATACAGTGCCTTGTCCTCTCCCAGAAGATCGAGTCAAAGATACTTATGCATTTGAGGTGACAGGTGTTGATGTAGCAGGAACACTTTATTTAAAAGAAAATAGAAAAGCTTTTATCTTGCTTTTTACTCGTGGAGTTTACCGTGCGATTCATTTAGAATTAATTGATAGCTTATTGACTAATGGATTTTTTCTCGGATTTAGAAGATTCATAGTACGAAGAGGACGGCCTAGAGTAGCATACAGCGATAATGGCACAAATTTTATGGGAAGGAATGGGCAAGGAATTTGCTCTGATCTGTTGACTGGAACCAAATTATCAGAAATTCTTCGATAATGAAAATTCAGTGGAGGTTAAATCCACCAGCCGAAACTGGTTCAGATAATCAAGAAATTATTGAGAAGAGTCCTGGGAAAAGCATTACTTTCATATGAAGAAATGTTAACTATCCTAAGTGATGCAGAAGCAAATATCAACTTCAGACCATTAACATACGAGTCAGAGGATTCCACCGATTTATGTGCACTCACTCCATGTATGTTTATTCAGGATGTGCGAACTGAAGGTGTTTTGGATCTGGATAGTTTGGATAAAATCAACTTATCGAAAAGATGGCGATACCACTAAAAGTTACGCGTGGAATTTCGTAAAAGATTTAAAGATGAATATCTTAGTATGTTAGTACATCGACCGAAGACTGTACCTTCGTGAACCATCAAGAAAGGTGATTTAGTGTTTGTAGAGGACGATAAAAGGAAAAGAACAGACCAGCCTATGGGTCGTGTGATCGAAAAATACCCAGGAAAAGACAACATCAGAGTGCTGAAAGTAAAAACTTCTAGTGGTGAACTGTTAAGACCAGTTCAAAGAGTATTTCCAATGGAGATAGACAATAAAGAATCTACCTTCGAGCTTAAAACTACTGAATCATCCACATCTTCGAGAAATACTGGTAAAAGGAATGATTTAGTAATTGATACCAAAGACTGTGAACTTGAAAATTCTGATAAAAACATTCAGTTTAGTAGATATGGCAGAAAAATTGTGAAACTAAAGAACTTTAATTAGTTTAATTTTGTTTTCAGTACCACTATTATTTGTTTTCTTTATTCCTTTCTTTGAATTTAAATTTGTATACAATTTGATTTTTCAGTTTAGTGAATTAATCTCTTAACTAGTATTTTTCAGAAAAGAATTTTTTGCCTGTTGTTTAAAGAATGTAAGTTTGCAGAATATTAAGTAAGTTTAAAATATTCAAGATCTTTGTTACGCCTAGATAAAATTGTTGATTTTGTTAAGATTTAAATTACTCATCTTATATTCGTATTTCAATTTTCATTTCACAATTGTTTTGATTTGTTCATATTCTGTCAAAAATCAAAAGGTGAGAGAAATGTTACAACTCGAACGCGAAAGTTTCTCTTTTGCCACTGGCAACGAGGAGTCGAAAAACAAACTTCGAAGAGAGAGGTCGCTCACTCGGTTTCTCTTGATAGAATTTGATACGAAGCGGGATAATCCCCATCTTTTGATTTGAAATTAATCTCGAATTATGTATATATTGTAATATAAAGATGTGTGTAAATAAAAGTCATTAAGTTAATTGAAGTAGTGATTTGAATCGAATATACAAATCGAAAGCTCTCCCAAACAGAACTATGCATTATAGAAATAACACTTCGAATTGGATCCGGCTTATTATTTTTTGCAGACTGTTAGAGCAATTTTATAAAAGTAAGCTTGAACTTTCGATTATGTCAAATAGAATTTCCGATGCTGGAGTTGGCAAAGGATCTGCAAAGCGAAAGCATGTTTCGATGTCCATTAAACAAAAAGTGGAACTGCTGCAAAAAATGGATAAAGACATGAAGAAAGTGACAGAGAGGTGATTTGTTTCTCTAACCATTCCGAAATCTGTTTATCAATTTCACGCTGCTCTGTGGAAGGGGGGAAAACGTCGCGACGCGCAATGAACTGGAAATTGATCTGTCAGCACTATCCTCATCTTCAGGGCAGATGTTTTTATTTTATTCGGCTTATAATTCCTCACTAAATGTAGTGTTTCATTTCGATGTACTCCGATATAATCTAAATCAATTTCCTCGTTATTATAAATATCACGAATACACATCAAATAGTTTTCTGGTTGCAAAATTTCTAATTTCGACTATGCGTAATGTATGCTTTACGCATGTGCGCGCTGAAAGAAATGTTTAATAAAGTAAACAAATAAATTTTTTTTGTAAATTTTGATACCCTTTAGATCATAATTGCTCTTTATTTCATAAATTACGGTTTCATATTTTTAATTTTATAATTTCTGCATGCCATCTTACCAGATTTAACTGATGATCTATAATCCGGAATCGCCGAAGTCCCGACGAGTCCGGATTAAATACTTTTGACTGTATATCAATTTCATGTGCTTCAGTTTTTCTTAATTTTACAGTCTTGTAATGTTCATTTGAATTAGTAATCCAAAACATGTTTCCTTCTTCTCAATCTTTTAGAACATGACTTACTTGGTTTTTGCTCATTCCAAATTTTCACCCTAAATCTCTCAAACTAAGTTTTTCAATTTCTCCTATATGAATTACAACTTTTTGTTTTAATATTTTTTTTCTCTTTGAAGCCATGCTAGTTAATGTATGTAAAAATAGCACACACGTACAAAACTACATATTTTTTTTTCCCCTTCACAATCCTAACAAAAAATACGAATGATAACTTTTTTACTCTATCCACATTGTGAGATTCCCGTTCCTTAGCAGTGGCCTTGTCATCTCACATTTTCTTTCCCATTGGTCCTATCTTGGATTCCCTTAATCCAAGATACTTGTTTTCTTCATCCTACTGATAACTGTAGCAAGAATAACTGGATTTTTAATTCTATGAATGTGAAATATGCTTTTGATTGCACCACACTTGCTTTTTCCGAAAGTATTATTCCCCTTTCGGTAATGAAAAGCAGTTTTCAAAAAAGAGGTACTACCTTTTCATTTTATTGTTCCCTTGTCACAAATCTTTCACTGGCACAAGTTTTCCTTTGAAACATCAAACGATTGCTAATAAAGAGTATTTCTGTTTATTCCTCTACACTCCTATCTTATTTTTAAATTAATTTTCAGTGTCTCTTAATAAGTGGTAAATACATTAAGATTCCTATTCATAGGGATCAACTTAATTATGCCTAACAGGAGATACTGCAGTAGTTATTATAAATGCACCAAATCCACTCTTATAGATGAATTTCGTGAAAACGTTTTGCCAGTTCCGATGAAAGAATATCTTTCCATTGAAGCACAGAGTGCAACTAAATGTAAGCACAATTCAAGTAACGAAACATTTCTTAAAAAATAAGCTACATAAATAGGGTTATAATTTATACTCCCCATGTAGTCTTGATGGCTTTGCAAGGTAGTGAAATTCAAGCTGGTCAATGCCCAGCATACTATAAAGCTAACTTTGTTACTAGAGCTAACTGATGATTCACTTACATGGAAGAACAACTACTAACCTTTTTTTCGTTCAAGTACCCTAATCCTCTAATCAACTTCTTCAGAACCTATAAGCAGAAAAGAAGTTGGTTACATGTGATGTATAAGCGATCATTATTCTAGCGACACATGACGCTAAGAGAAAAAAAAAATCTTCCCCCCTACTCCAGGTATATAATTCTAAGTATGTCTGCAGGATTCTATGTATTCAACTAAGACCAAAATGTTTCACTTGCATCATTGACCCACATTAAATCAACAGAGATTAAGATTCCCAGATAACTTTCAAGTAACAGTTTAAGGAATATCAATAGTTAGTTACAACTAAGTGTGCTAGTTTTCTGCACATTTCGGTCGAAAAAGGGCCATATCTTAAAACTTTGTAATTATCCGATGGCATATTTAAACTTGCTGAGTACTTTTTTAAATCGACATTTTGTCATAACACTGTTATTTTACACCACTACTGATAACTTTCACATACCTGATTAAACCAGCACACACTCTCAAGTGTCCCTGTATCGCAGGCTGACCTACAGTAGTACCTTACACAGCCAATATTTCAGAATATTTTTTGATAAATTCTGCAATTCAAACCAATTTAATGATTTATTCAATTTAATTATCAATGTCTCAATTTATTAATACATGAATTTTGTCTACGTTAAATAAAAATTTCATGTATATTTTGTAAAGCATATTCAAAACAACTTATGCTTTAGAAGTTTCAGTTTAATTAGTAGAGTAATTTAAATACGATATGAATTTTATTCATTCAATAGTGTCAAATGGGAAAACAGTTAAAGTGTAGAGTGTGCAAATAAGTTTATGGTGTATTTAATTATGGCAAAGCGCACTAGGGCTATCTGCCTAAGGAGAGGGATGCCTTCATGGAGACTTTCTAAGGGAAACTGGCTAGTATACACGTTACACATGGGGAAAACCACGAAAACCCATACAGCCAGCCCGTTCGCAGGATTCGAACCTCCGACCAAACTACCAGTGTTCAGCAACTTCACCGCTTGGCCGCTGGTGGGCGCAAATAAGTTAATATTAATGACATTTTAACAAAAATTTCAATAAAAACACTGCAAATTCATACTCAAACATAACTTTAGAACATGCTGTCAATTAAGTATGAGGTAAAACAAGCTTACAATCATTTTTGTTTACTGAAATAATTGTACAAGACTGAAGAAACTCTTTTAAATGTATGAAATATTTCACCACATATATGAAAGAAGAAAGTACAACATTCTGAGTTTTGGATGTTTTTTCAACACACACACACAAAAAGGGAGGCATTTTCATTTTTGTCTATATTTCTTTCATTTATCCATCGGATCTGTTTGCATAACCCTAATTTGTCAAAGTACATTTTAAAAAATGATCAAGGCCAGTTTAAACAACAATTTTTTAAATTACACTGACATATACACATCCAATTAAAGTAATTAAAAACACCAGAACATAGTTCAGCAGCCTTCTGAATATGTAGGCAATTTATTTAAAAATGACAACACAAAATAATGCTTCAGAAAATACTGTTTATCATATACAGTCAAAAGTCGTTAATCCGGACTCGTCGGACTTCGGCGATTCCGGATTATAGATCATCAGTTTAAATATGGTAAGATGGCATGCAGAAATTACAAAATTAAAAATATGAAACCATAATTTATGAAATAAAGATCAATTATGATCTAAAGGGTATCAACATTTACAAAAAGAAAAAGCTTAATATTTGTTTACTTTATTAAACATTTCTTTCAATGTAAGTTGTTTAAGTTGCTTCGTTTCATGTGATAATACTTTCTCTTTAATTCTATTAAACAGGTATAATTTCTTGTTTAGTTACAAAGTTCCGCTGTTCAAATCCTGTAATTGCTGTGCCGAGAATACCGACTAACTTGTCAATCAAAATTTTTTCGTTTTCAATAACCTCTGTGTCACTTTCTTCACTATCGGAAGTGAATTATAATGATGAGGAACTTGATTTAAATCATATCAAAGACAGAGTACATCGAGATGAAATACTACATTTAGTAAAAAATTATACGCCAAATAAAATAAAAACATCTGCCCTGAAGATAAGGATAGTGCTGACAGATCAACTTCCAATTCATTGCG